GGATTTATACAGGAGTCGATGAAAAATATATCCTAGAGTAGTGTTCATTAAACACACATGTTCACTAGACAGAGGTGTTCACAAAGGCAGGTTTTACTGTACATGTATTTCCTAATTGCAAATAACAAAACAGATGTAACAAAAACTTAATATTAGAATCATGCAAACTCCAGTCTAATGCAGTCTGGAAGAATGAGACTCATATTGCTATTGCTAACAATTTCAATAATTGTAAGAAAATAAACTGCTTTATTCCATAATAACTTGTTTTCCCCGTGAAAATAACAGGGAATAAAATTGATATTCAAAAAATCCCGTATCAGATGCCTTATCAGCCAAAATCCTGTATCAGAAATATTCCCAGTAATTTCTAATTTCTGAAAATGTTACAAGATAAATTGTATCATTTTATGTCACAATTATTGGGTGATGACATACGAATGAAATTGATATTCAGAAAATCCTGTATCAGCCAAAATCCCATATCAGATCCCGTATCAGCCAAAATCCTGTATCAGAACTATCAGAAAATTTCATGAGACTTAATATTGTGTTATTATGGTATATTATGATCCATATAAGTATTATAAATTATTTCTATTTTAAAATTTGTTAATAAAAGTTGAAAATTTCATTTGATAAATTAGATTCTATCATTTAATGCCACCATCATTGGGTAACTACCGAACAGTGTCTCGGTATAGACACTGCGGCGGGCAGATGAAGAAAATCCCCAAAATTTGGGGAAAATAGTTCCCCTTTTCATCGTATGTGGTCAATTTTCACACAACTTATACAATATGTATTCATGAATGTTCCCCAAACATTATTTTGTCAAAATATTTCAAAATTATTGAAATATGAGAAGAATGTGTTGATAATAGTTTACCGCACGTGTTGTTTTTTAGTTAATACGCGCAATTCAACCAATGAAATTGTCTAAATTTTACAATCACGCGACCTGAGCATGGGACTAGAACCAATCACATCAGTTGTTTATTACGAAGTTACCATGCTTACGGTGAGATACCTGCCCGCCGCAGTGATATATCACTGCACTGGAGTTCGGGTAACGACATACAAAACAAGTTTCAGAAAAATATTATGGAATAAAAAGGTTATTGATGGTCGTGATGGAATATGAATTTTTCCTAAAGAAAACATGTCAGAGGAAAAGACCATATATAGAAAGTCGTCCGTATTTCGATGACGAAATCTGATTGGCTCGGTGAGATCAAAGAATTATTGTAAACTGAGTGAAGACGAAGCTCTCCTTTAAGAAGTGAAGTCAAAAGAATGCAAAGGGTATAGTTGAGGTCAATCTTTCTTCTTTGAATAGACAATATCTCCTCTTGAGATATTTCATACATTATCATTGACTCGAGTAAATCTCGGGGATAATCAAAGATATAACCAGATTCAGTGAATGAAATCACAGATCCCGAGCCAAATCCAGCCCCTATTATATTGGAAGTAATAAATGAGAAGATCGGACACAAACCCAAAATGGTATATCCAAAAATGACTACCCAAAAATATAACCCTCATACTGACCTTTATCTTTGGCTTCTCTCAAACATTGAGTGATAAATATTTACCCTGAAATATTTTCTTCATGTATTAGTTTGAATGGTTACATGACATCAATTATTGATGGTGACCGTGTAAATTGAGTTTTCCCAGGACAATTATTTCATATTTCTAGAGCGTAAATATAATGGAGTGTTTCGGTAATTTCTGGCAGTGTCCGATGTTGTTCTTCCCTCAAATTACGTCACATCACAACAAACAGCCAATGAAAGTAAAGGAATGTGTAGCCTTATAAACCATTGTTATTGTTTCTACAGGAGTTTAAGAAACGTCATGGTGTTTCTCAGTAATCTTTGATGTGATGTCATCCGAAGTGGCGTCACATTCTCAGAGAAGACATTTGACTTCGGGAATAAACATTTGAACAACGAAAATAGCCGAAACACTCCATTATAAATATGCTTGGTTATTTAATACTTTTATCAACAGATGCTTTCTTGAATGTGTGGCTTTAGTGATCGGAGATGAAGCTAACAATGGTACGCATCGTTTGAGGTATGACATGTGATATTTATTGATTAACTGATTCCAAAATCAAGGAAATATAAATTTTCCGAAGATTTTGTGCCTTGTCCTTGAGTGTTTTCATTGAGCCTAGACACCAAGAACACAGTGAGCTCTCAGGGGGGGAAGATTTCCCAAAGATGACCTTTCATATTGGCACATTCGAATGCAAATATTATAAACAGGCCTCATTTACCATTGAACTGAATCTCCCAATGTTCGCTGTAGTTTTATGAGTATTCTCTACAAGTTTGGATCGAGTAACTTCAATAGTATTACCGTAGATTTAAAATTATGATATTGAACTGATGTTAACGCCATATCCACGACTTCAAATTTTACGCATGCGCAGCCCTGAGAGAGCACGTGGTCATGATTGTTCATGTGATCGCATCCTGCAATTTGATTGGAGATGACGTGGGAGATGACATAATGGGGGAATCCCCAAATACGATAGAATATGAAAGAATTATGGGAGCCACTCAACTCTTCTGGTGAGTACTAGATCTATCAATCTTCATTATTCAGTTGACTGACATTCTATCATCTTAGATAGAGGGTGTATTAGATAGATGGTGCTTACTGTGATCAAGGAGAGGTACATGTATCTGGCAGAGGTACGTGAATGAAATAACATATTATGTACATTTGCCCAACATGTAATAAACTGTGATTGACTTTCAAGCATGAGGGAAGGTGAGTCAGAATTTTTATCGACTCCCACAAAACCACTGGGGATGAACTGGAAACGAGGGAGGTTTTGCCTCGTATCAAAATGGCGGCGCGTGAAAAAATTTCATTCGGTAAGATTTTTGTTTTTTACAATTTTCGTGCTTTTATCCTTCAAATTAAAACGTAATATTTGGCAAGTAAATAGTTCATAAGTTCCGGTTTTATAATATGATTACAAATTAGAAATCAATACTGGCATTGCTGAGATATTTACATATCAATTATCTCACTTAGGAAACGAGGCACGTTTCTCAAGGAAACGAGGCAGCTATATAGCATTCTTAAGAATGAAACGAGGCAACCATATTTAATTAAAAATATTTTGTTTTTATTACAGAACGGGGCCTACAAAAAGAAGCGTCCCTGTTCAAATGCTATTTCTGTCGTAACACAGGAAACGACAACGTTGCTGATATTGTATTCCATATGATGCAACAGCATGATGGTAATCTCTCTGTACGGAAACGAACGTTAGATGAGAAAACAGGTTCATTTGTATACACGTCTCATCATTTTGGCGTTGCCATTGAACGTGTAAGGCTGTATCATCAAGTTCCTTTATCAAACATTCAGATTGTACAGATTATCAGATATACATCACTGTTACCCACCTAGTTACACAGACGTATCGTCAGTGTATCATGGCGGTACTACTTCCGGGACTAGGTTTCGGTAAGATTTTTTTATTTCCCGATTTACATCTATTTATAAGTCACGTTGTGGATCATAATTTGGCTCGAAGTTAAGGAAGATAGTCTAGTTTGAGAATGTGTCGATGGTTTAAGGTTTTATATATTAACGAAGACACAATTCACGTATTTAGTCCCTCGCTTTTGTTACACTGACGAACGACCAATATCAGTGTAATATTGGCAATATTAATGCCGATCGTCAGTGTAACAAAAGCGAGGGACTAAATATGTGAAATGCGTCTTCGTTAACATACCAAACCTAAAACCATCGACACATTTTCAAACTAGACTATCTCCCATAACTTCGAGCCAAATTATAATCCACATCGTGATTTATAAGTAGATGTAAATCGAGAAATAAAAATATCTTACCGAATTCAAATCCCGGAAGTAGTTCCGCCATGATACACTGACGATACGTCTGTGTAACTAGGTGGGTAGCAGTGTACATAGGCCTACATGTTCATCATGTCATAGCCTAATATGTATAACTACATTTGGAATGTGTACACATGTACCATCATTGTACCTGTATATGATGTGATTGCTTTTGCCTGCATTGGAACAACTTTACCGCGCAAATAGAGTACATGTAACATTTTATGTTATACTGTTGTAATCCGATCCTTTCAAAATGATGAACAAGGTATTGGTACTTTTACCCTGCGTGCAGAGTCTAGTTAAACTACACTCTGCCTAGTAGAGACCATATTACAGTTTAGTAGCCCCGCCCCCACGATGGTACGGTGACAGTTTGGATAATAATCACTTGTGACCTCTGCGCTGACCTTTCTTCTACCATTCAGCGAGCTTGAAGAAACATACGCCAAATGCGTTCTAATTAAATATGCGCATGTCATTGGTCAATTCCAGGCTCAATGATGACGTCAGAAGGAATGACTATATATAGAACGTCGGTCAAATTTGGCCGACGAACACTGACAATATGGTTATTCTTTTTAACTCTTACATATATAATCATGTATATCGTGTAAAACGTAATCGGTCGTATGTGACCAGAACGGTGGAAATAAGATCATTAAATGTAGACACTATCACAGAAAGAATAGTTGCCTCGTTGCAAGTCAAACATTGCCTCGTTTCATTGTTACAAAATGTAGACAGGTGCCTCGTTTCCTAAGTGAGAGAATTGAAATGTAAATATCTCAGCAATGTCTGTATTGATTTCTAATTTGCAATCATATTATAAAACCGGAACTTATAAACTATTTACTTGCCAAATATTAAGTTTTAATTTGAAGGATAAAAGCACGAAAATTGTAAAAAACAAAAATCTTACTGAATGAATTTTTTTCACGCGCCGCCATTTTGATACGAGGCAAAACCTCCCTCGTTTCCAGTTCATCCCCAGTGAAAACAGTGACATCAAAATAGTTTGAAAGAAAGTTAAAATTTAGCCATTACAATAATTGGAAATGCTACAAAACTATCACAATGTAAAGTATATATATTTACTCTTACCTTAACTTAAGATTATGCATAAAATCCGACATTGTAAGGGATTCTAAGAGGACAAAGTCCCCGATTCCATATTCCGGTCCTTCCTGAATCCCCGCCATTCTCGTTTTGAATGAGATAGCGAATGTCGCGAGATTTGGAACGAGAGTTTTGATGCCGGTAATACTTTTCTGCAGGTTTATTTTAGGAGAGCACCGATGCCATTCAACAGGAGTTGGTCGAGCGAAATTCCGATTCTTTTTTAGGGGCTTTTAGGGTTAAGTTAGGATTTATGGTTAGTATTAGGTGTTAGGGTTAGATATTTGATTAGGTGCTGTAGTTAAGCTAAGGGTTTAGGGAAATGTTTATTGTTAGGGTTGAAAATCTTCGGCCATCTTCGACTGCAAGTGCAAGTAAAAAATCGCTATCCGTTTATTTTAAACATAAATGTTGATACAATTAAATCTGGCTTCAAGACTGTTGACTCCCTCCATTATTTACTTCACAAACACACCACGGTCTTGTGTTGGCTATGTTCAGGTGCTGCTGCATCATGGATCACTTGAAGTGGAAATAGTTTGTTTGACTCATGTGAAAAGAGCCAATCAGGTTTGTATGTTATTCAAAGTTATTTTAATCAATAAAGTCACCCAAGCTCACCAACACCTGCAGTGGGAATCACTACAATCCCGTATGGAGGCTTCTAGACTTTCCCTCTTCTACAAAGGAACTCACAACTTAGCAGCCATCACTATACCTACATACTTCAGCCCTCAAATAAACACAAACACTAGACAGTTCCATTCATCCAACCAGCTGCCAGAACGGATGCATAAAAGTTTAGATAGGACAATAGTAAAATAGAACACTCTACCCAGTGATATTTTAGACAGTGATAGCCTACCCAGTTTTAAATCTTCTGTCAGCAAGCAGCTTAACAATTAAGCTCAGTTGTATTTTAGCAATAGGTCTATGGTACATTCTTAAAATTTGTTATTGTTCTATACAAATGATTATTGAATATGGCCTACTTTTCTACGAACGGGAGTATCAACCTTGGGGAAGATGCCTCCTTAAGTGGAGTAGTGTATCATGATTTCAGTGTACATTTTAAAATGAGTTGTAAACCATAGATCTATTCTTTAAATGTTAATGTTCAAATTGTATTCTATTCAAATCATATCACTGTTAAACTATATATCTGCTTTAAATGGGCTTATTAGCCTTTTGCGGATTATTGATGTAGATGTAGAAAGTGTTGCAAGAACAAATTAGGGATAGTCAAAAGAGCACAATTGCATCTACAAAATATAAAGATATCAATATTGTCTGAAGCAGGCGTAACATGCAGTAGACTGATGAACTTCATTCTCCAAACCGAGACTAGTCTTTTTCAAAGTTCACCTGTTCACATGAAACATGGAAAATTGGTTTCACTGTACAGTGTACATCCTATTGTTTTTCAGAGGTATGAACTGCTTAGCCAATATCTGATTTTAAAGAGCTAAGATTAATCTAAATGAGATTAGGAATTAGGATAAACCAATTATTGACAGGGTGCCCCACCCATTGTTATGGAACACCTGTCAACAAGGTACATTTTTAGCCAGTCCAGAGAGTGTTTCTTGTTCGCAGGTTTTACTGTACATTGAGGAGACTGTCATGCTACCGCATTAACATCGCCCCTCTTTACCAGTCATACAGGTTTCACTGGCGGATCTGGGGGGGGGGGCTGGGGGCACTAAGGCCCCAAAAAGTTGGCCTTTTTGGTCATAACTGGGCCTTGTAAGGCCTTGTTTTTTAATTTCAGGCCAAATTTTGAAGAAAATGGGCCTCAAAATTAGGGCCCACATTTGGGTTTTAGAAAATGTTTCCACGCAAGCGTGCGACTTTTTTTCTCTGACCGGAAATTTTAGCCCCCCCCCTTTTTGATTCACAGATCCGCCCCTGGTTTTTTGCTGTGCACTGGGGACATTCCCCGATGGACATTCTACATTAGGACATAGCCCTATTGTTGGATGTTGCCAAAATGTCAAATATACTAACTGAATGAATTACTTTTTGCGATATTTTGACCACTGGGGTACCCGGATTATACTTTAACAAGACTAGAATTAGTCAACTTGGAGGGCTACATGTATTTTATCTTTTATTGACTTTTTCAAAATATATTCCACATATATAATTATATATTGTCTTTGTGGATTTTGATCCACCTTGTTTATTTATCTGTTTGCAGGGTGGTCCCACTCTTTATTACCCAGGGACATATGTGAAAAATCGAACTCGGTGGCAGTGCTAGTCTTCTATTCCGAGACACTGCATGGGAGTTTGGTGAAAAATATCAAGGGCTACAGGCCCGTAGCCGGAGGGGGAGGTGGGGGAGCGGCGGAAGCTCCCCCTGGCCAGAAATTCTTTCAAAATCATGCAGTTTTTCACCATTCTGAGAATTTTTCGCATGATATTTAGCCAAAATTGTGAAATAGCTCACCCCCCTAGACTATATCCTATTTAGTCAATTCAGACTATAAGGCACCTATGTTAAAGTTTGGTAATTCTAAATACTTGTTTACATAGGAAGTGCAATTCAAAATGACCGATTGAAAATTAATTTGCACATTTGTTACTTCAACTAGCTTTATTCCCACTTAACAATATGCTGTGTTACTTTTTATTGCATTTAACTGTACCTTACTATTTAATTGAAAGGACGATTCTCGGTTTGGAGAACAGCCTCCTGGGCTAAAATTTTTTTCATGAAAAATATAGAAATATTACCCAAATTAAACTATGAATATTCAAAAGAGGACAATTAAATCTACAAGATGTAAAAATAACAAATTGGTCTGAAGCAGGGATAATGCTCAAATAGACCGATTCAATAAAATACAAGTCTCGATTTGGGGAAAGAAGTTCATCAAAAGAAGACATTCAAATCTATATTTTGGCAAAAAATCAAATTTGTCCGAAGCAGGGATAATGCTCATTTAGATTGATGAACTTCGTTTTCCAAACCGAGAATCGTACTTTTGTAATTTTTATTTTATTGAAGAAATGGTTCCTCCAATTGATAATTTTGTGCAAAAAATTTCACTGCAATTTCCACAGGACTTCTAGTCAGTCTGTTGGATACATACTTACCCCCCCCCCTGGAAAAAGCTTCCCCTCCTGGTAAAAGCTGGCTACGGGCAAGGGCTACCAAAATTGTACGGCTCCAAAACAAGTCTTCTTTCAACCTAGAGACTCAGGGCGAGACGCTTATTTCAACCTGTGCAAGTTTTGTAATAATACTGCAGAAAAGGCCAAATCGCATTTTGAAAGAAAGAAGAAGGATTTTTAAATATTGCGAACTAGGCTAGTTTTAGACGTTTTTATGATGGCTGGACAAGTGAAGCAGGTAGAAAGCGACTCACATTTCCAACCAGAACTAGCAAGTGCGGAATCAAGCCTTGTTGTGGTCGATTTTTATGCCACATGGTAAGCTTAGACATCATCCATTCGATCTTTGTTGATGACTTGCTGTTTTTTATTTCCATGTTTTTACTCTCTGCTCTAGGCCTATATGATAAGGCCACGGATAATTGGAAATTCTGCAAGTAATATACTGAATACTCCTAGTGTAACCTTTAGATATCGTAGGGGGGGGGGGGCTTCTTTGATACAACCCTGGTGGGGTAGATCCACAGGGGCTTGTCTTATGCATCTATTTTGCGTATAGCAGTCGTTATAGGCTGTCCTTCGTTAAAAATAATATATGGGTATGATGCCTAAGGAAACAAAGAACTCTAGGAACTACCGATTTTTAACAGTGGACGTGTCTTGAGGAAGAAATCTACTCTGGAGCTAATAATCGTGAGGTGAAAATTGCCGTTATTTTCATTTTAACACTTCTTTACATATTCTTCAGATTTCTCAGCAACTAGTGGATGGATTGCTACCATTTTGGGTAACAAATTACTCTGTAGTGTTGTTTGAATCAGCATGTTGATTGTTGAAAGGATTCCATATATTTCTACTGGATATACCTAACTATCATTTTCTACAAATTTCAGGAAGCATCAAAAACGACCCCCCTTAAACTCTTAATAAGCAGTACACACTCATCGGAGGGCTTGCCCGACGCCTCGAGACAAGCCCCTGTGGGTAGATCTAGTCATATAAATCTGACCCTCGTATGATGTTATTTGTTGTTATTTTTTCTGATTTGGATATTTATTTTTTCTTATTTTCTTGCATACGAGCGTCATACCTCCGATCCCCCCTCCATCCCAAATTAATTTATTTTGATTATTTTTTGTAAAACACATTGAAACTAACTTTAAAAAGTAAGCAATGTCATTAATATTGTGATAATAACGTCCCTTATACCTATTTATTACAGGTCATGTAGACCATTGTTGCCCGATTTATAGCAAAAACATTGACTTTTGCACGTTGGTGATGATGCGCCTTTTATCATAGATCTCATATCTCAAAAAAAAATACAAGATGACCTACAACATATGTAACATATTTTGCCATGGCATGCACTGCACCTATTCATTTGGCAATTCAATTGTGAATTTTCTCTTGAAAAAATAAATCTTCCAAAGGAGTGGTATCGATATGGAGAACTTTTTGAACACCCGTTTCTCTTAAACCAGTCATAAAAAGAATCTAAAAATTTGACTCATCGTCAATTTAATGGTCATCTTTTGAATGGCAACAATATAATTTGAAAAATATGTATATACTTTCATCTATATTGTTTTAGAAAATACATCAAACACTTGTTTTGTTCTTGGTATCATGTTTCCAGAGTGAAATGAAACATCTTTCCGAACCTCATTGGAACATTACGACATAAACACAACATGTTTCTCAATATTGTAATTGTACAAAGGAAATTTTGGTTGATTTTAAAAAAGTATCTTGGTAATGAAATAAAAGGTTTATCTTGATTTTTATCTATTTTGGGGGGATTTTGTTTTAATTTTTTTAATACTTTTTTAAAATCAACCAAAAATTCCTTTGTATAACTATAATATTGAGAGGTCTAAAAACATGTTGTATATGCTATTTTGTTCCAACAAGGTTCGGAAAGACATTTTATTTCATTCTCAAGAATTGGTAGAAAGGAGCAAAAACAATTGCACTAAAAATAACAAAAACAGTTATAATATAAAATATTTCTAAATAATTTTTGCATTAAATTGTTGTCAATCAGTCAACATTACATAAAATACCATGCTTTTTACAGAATGTTTTCAATGATTGGTTTAAGAGTAAAACATTGTTGAATTCAGTTCTCCATAATTTGGCCTAAAAAGGCCAAGTAATGCCCTAAAGGCCCACTACCTAAGGCCCTGCAACACTTTGGGATCAAGGGGGGGGGGTGGCCCCATAGGCCTCCTGGATTTGCCAGTGATCACAATCAGAAGATTTACGATATATAGCACAAAAATTGTGAAAGTCAAAAATGATTTGCATCAATAAACTGATAAAGGGGGATTTGAAGACTGTAATATGAAAAGGGGATTTGTTTCTTGTAGGTGTGGTCCATGTCAAAGAATTACACCAGTGTATGTGGAGCTCAGTCAGAAATACCCCAAAGCAGTTTTCCTGAAGGTTGACGTAGATCAGTGTCCGGTAAGATGATTAAGCTATTAAATAAGTTCAGCAGTAAACGAAAGCAACGTTAATTTCATTTTTGACATTATCACATACTACCTGTCTACAAAGCATTGGCGCAGCATCATAGTAATTTATAGATGTAATACAGAGGCGTAGCTTTCAGTCAGGGGGGTGCGATCGCCCAAAAATTTTTGGGTTTTCAGTCAGGCATAAGCAAGAGAAAATCTTTTTTCAAAGGTCTGTTTTGAATTGATGCAACTTTCTTCATAATTGAGCTAGAAGCTTCAAATAAAAAGCATTTTAGGGTAGAAGTTCTACCCAATGCCATGGTTTTATTTTTATTGGTTATGGGGGGGGGGGTTCGATCGCACCCATCACACCCCCTCTGGCATTCTGGCTACGCCTATGTAATAATTATAATAAATATGCATGACAATTCAATCATAATGCACTTATCTGTTGTGCCTTTCTGTCATTTGCAAGATCATGAAATTGAGTCAATCATCAATATATTATCTGTGTTTCTCAAAGTTTGTCAGAACATCTGCGTATATTTGTCTTATATTCAGTTTCACTTATATCGAGGCTAAACAACGTCCTTTTTATAAATTTTAAGCTTTTCACTTTCTTAATGTGACCATTTGTCAGAATATATATAATGACTGAATGCTTATGTACATGCAAATGAAGTTGCTCTACATGAATTCTGTATGACGTTCATTTCACATTCATTGAAGTGAAATGGTATTTCATTGAAGCATATTTCCTTAATTTAGGACACTGCAAGTGCCCATGGGGTGACAGCCATGCCCACTTTTCTGTTTTTCCGAAACAAGGCAAAGATTGACATGCTTCGGGGAGCAGATGTTAATCTGCTAGAGGAAAAGATCAAGAAATGGTACGGAGATGAGGACGAAGGAGATGAAGGAGAGACAGTTGTTAAGGGGCATGTGAGTTAAAACACAAAATGTTATTGATGTTAAATCAAAAACACTGTTTCTCCCTGATGCCTGATTTAGCTAAACTATTTCCTCTAGTTCAACACAGGCAGCTTTGCTCTGAGCCAAAGTCAGTTGCGATGAGTCACAGAGAGTTGTGCTATAGATACACTGAAGTATTGGCTTAAGTGAAAAATAAATGTGAGCCTTATGCATTTGCTACAAATCTCTGATTATTCCAGCCGAATCATTCTATGTTCCTTTAACATTGTTTAAACATTTTGATTTATATATGGTACATGCGGTTGTTTTTTTATTCTGAATATGAAATTAAAGTGATTTAAAATAATGATTTCAGATGGACTTGGGTACATTTATAAATAAAGCAGGATGTGAGTGTCTTAATGAGGCAGATGACCATCCCTTAACTCATGCACTCACAACTAAAGGTGGCTACTTAGAGTCTGACTGTGATGCCCAAGTAAGTATACATGATTACAAAGGTGCAGGCATATTTTCTTACAAATGGTAGATTGCAATTTTAAGACTTTCAATACCTGTCTGACTGTTTGTAAGAGCAACTTTCAATGATAGTGTTATCATATGGATCAATTTATTAAGTATTATAGATATATTTGAGGTATTGGAATGTTATGCATTAGATACATGTAGCACACAACATCATTAAACATTGGTGCATTTTATTCATTTCAGCTAATTATAAACATAGAATTTAACCAGGCTATGAAGTTACACTCCTTGAAGCTGTATGGACCACCAGGTATTACCTTAACTGATGTGTTTTAAATATTCAATTTGCACTCCTTTTTCATTTCTCTGATTTTGGCCTTGCTTGGAAAATTCAAAATGGCTGCCCGATACTGGAATAAAAGTCTTAAAGTATGGTTATATTGTTCTCTTATTAAAGTGGATCACAATCATGCTATCATTTTTGTCATTAGTGCCTAGAAAATAGATTGCTACCTACAACCAATGGCATCATCAATCTAGCCAATATATCCTAGCTTTGATGTACCAAAAGCTGGGAGTGTTTATTGGAAAGGTCTATTACAGCTTTTAGCTGGCCCAATAATGCAAAAAGTATGAAACTGAATATATAAACATTTTTTTAGGGAAAGCTCCTAAAAATATAAAAATATTTACGAATCAGCCCAGCACATTAGACTTTGACCAAGCAGAAAGTATGGAGCCTGTCGAATCAAAAGAGTAAGTAATTCAGTGACCTGAACAAATAAAATGAACTAATATAATGTTGCAGGAATGTTATGCCAAATGCAGATGTTCACATGGACATAACAATCATTTCAATTTGAAGAATTACTTTACTACTAACAGTATTTATTTGGTAAACTTTATGAGCCTATTTCTGAAATTGAAACATTTCCTAAATCACCCTATGCAGACAGAGCCTGTGGGAAATATTGGGTGCGGAGCAAATGAGCGGAGGGTGCGGAGCTAACGGTCATTTTTGAATTTAAATTTGGGATATTTCTGAAACTAAGCCGTTTTGGGACTTCAAATATACCAAGATATGTGTATTTGACACCAAATATCAATACAATTGTGAAAATAGTAGTGCAATTCATTCTATAGCGACGCAGTGTGCCTTAAACCTTTCCCAGACCTATATATTTTGAAATTATCCTTTTAATACTGAGTCCCCAGCATTCATAAAAAATGGTGTTCAAGGTACACTATCTATACAAATTATTTTTGCATCTTGGAAGCCAGGCAGTATCTGTGTGATTTTATTAAAATTCGGAAATTTTTTCAGATATGAGCCCCCTCTAAATATTGGGTGCGGAGGAGCTCCATAAACGTACCTCCGCACCCAATATTAAGAGGGGGCTCATATCTGAAGAACATTTCCGAATTTTTATAAAATCACACAGATACTGCCTGGCTTCCAAGATGCAAAAATAATTTGCATGGGTAGTGTATCCTGAACACCATTTTTTATGAATGCTGGGGACGCAGTATTAAAAGGATAGTCTCAAAATATAGGTCTTGGAAATGTTTACGGCATACTGCGTCGCTATAAAATGAATTGCACTACTATTTTCACAATTTTATTGATATTTGGTGTCAAATATTCATATCTTGGTATATTTGAAGTCCCAAAACGGCTTAGTTTCAGAAATATCCCAATTTTAAATTCAAAAATGACCATTAGCTCCGCACCCTCCGCTCATTTGCGCCCGCCCAATATTTCCTACAGGCTCTGTCTGCATAGGGTGTAAATGAATCATTTTAAAAATATATCATATTCTCAAATTTAATTAGAAATCTGTTTATCATCAGTATATAGTCAAGTTTTGATGACATTTGGATTGTTTGCAGGTTAACTGAGGCAGATGTTGCAACAAACTCACTTATTCCACTGAGATATGTAAAATATCAAAATGTCCTTAGTTGCACGGTAAGTATAGTTATAACAAGTAAAGTCTGATGTTTTTGTTGGCGGTTGTTTTAATTTGGCAGATCCACCAAATTGTTACAGTCCACCAAATTAAGTAGCCGCCAAATTCAATATTTCAAATTTCAATAATAAATTTGTATGGTATATACATTTCAATATTGCAAGTCCGCCAAATTAAGTAGCCGCCAAATGTTTAAAACAGCAAATCCACCATAATTAATAGCACCAAATTAAATAGAAGGACAGTAGTATACTTTATTTGTGTCTACCCAACTGCTTATTTTCCAACATCGATTGTGTATTCAAAATGGCTACTCGCATAAAAATGCCTACACCCGTGCCTTTAAAATAGTTTGTTTTAATTCAGATATTTATCAAAGACAACCAAGAAGGCGGAGAAGTGACTCAGGTGGACTATATCGGCTTAATAGGATCTGCTGTACAGACAACTAACATGGGAGAGTTCAAACGAGTAAGCACTTAAAAGATCATCCGCATGTTCATGAAAACAACTCTCTGAACAAACTCTTACTGTTATGATAAGCTTAAGTATTCATGCAAAATTTGCCATTTCCCTGATATCTGCTGGTATGTTTAATGACATAGTTGTCCAAAAATAGCAATCTTCTGGGTTCATATCCAGTGAAAAATGTCCAGACTGCTCAGAATTACCTCAATAGATCATGAGAAACTTTGTAGAAATAACAGATATAATTTTGTATGATATGACATATGTTTGGTAATACATGTAGATATATTAATCTTGTTCAATTAATAATAAATCTTTAAGCTTTCCAGATTTTATTTTCAGCATGTAAAACCAAAATTGATAGAAATGGTTGTACATTTGCAATACACATTGGACATTTATTAAAACAGTAGACAGCCTTTTCTAATTACTTGTTAATTTGGAATATTTATCTATTTTAACTTTTTTCCAGGTTGCTGGGAAAAAGGGGGAAAGCCACTGAGATGTAATCTGGATACCCAAACATTAAGGACTATAATACATGTTATCGCAAGTTTTTATATGATGAAATAGAGATTCCAGATAAATGAACTTCCTCTTTCAAAGGCTTTTAATTATGTTGGATTTTATCCTATTTGGTCGAGTTTCTGAAACCTTGAGGTATATGAGGCCATATATGGAAACTCCTATATACGTGATGTTACTGTCAATTTGATTTCCATGTATTAAACTAGATAACAGCAACACCAAGACGTAGCAAATCCCATCAAAGGTCTAATGAGTACCAGACAACACTGCTAGAAATCAGGTCTTAAAATAGCTGCCATAGATGTATTGTCGAAATATATTGTGTCATTCTTGGTATTTACATTTTTACCAAAAAATGTACAAAATCATGATGCTTAGGGTAATCATTTTTCAAACAGCCACATTTGCCGAAGTGTTTATTTACATATAAAATAACCAAAAATTGCTTTACTATCTTTCCAGTTCTAGCAAAACGAAAAATAGCAAAGCAAAATAACACATATACAAATGACTGTCATTTTTTGAAAGGACTGGCAAACAGAGCCATTTTCTATAACCCTGGCCTTTGTTTGATGGGATAATAATGGGATATATGGACATTGTATTCAAGAGAATCACTTTTAACAAAATTTATTAGAATTGTGTGACACAAATTGGAATTAATCTAGAAGTATAAATAAAAATTGTTATGCCTATTTAAATGTGATGTTTTGTTGAATAAGTACAAGAAATATGGATTCATGAACTTTCAGCATTTTCTAGTTTTCTTAGTTCTTCATTATAAAAATGTATTGCTTGTAAATAACAACTACTTTTAATTCCACTGATAAAGATTCTCTTTGGTGTACACTGTACTGTAAATTGCTTTAATTTTGCGAATTGGGCAAAGGAGGGGGAGTGTGTAGAATGAATCAGAGGAGTTTTTCAAAACACATCTTATTTGGTTGCTTTGGCTTATAATGCAACCCAAAAAGGTGTGTATTAAAGATTTACTTTCCTGGGGCCGTGAATTCGTACGATCCCCAATCCAATCTAACCCAGATAAATTTTATCTTTTGGGATAAATCTTGGATTACTAATCCGATAAATATTTGCTGAATTTGTACGATCAGAGGATAATGAGGGGGAATCCCCAAGATTCATCCAATTTGCATTGGAATTCGGATAAAATTTATCCAAAAAGTAATCCACCTCAAGAGGTGGATTGAGATTTATCCTGAGATTAATCCCACAATGCATCATTACCGTGACGAAATTTATCCTGATCGGATCATACGAATTCACCGCCCCTGTTGCTAAGAGTATCCATGCTAATTCTACAGAACTAAGCTGTGACATCATAACAATGGTGGTTTGTCGCGTAGTAGTGTTATGACGTCATAACAATTCAAAGATGAAGTTCCATTAATCTGAAGCTATTTTTCACCCAGTTTTGTCATGAAAACGTGAAAGTATGGCATAATACAGTCATATGAGAACAACTTTCTTGTACTTGTACTTGTACCTGTGTAAAATCATCCATTCTTTGATAATGTTTCTTTATCTCATCTGCAACTCAATAAAGAAGAATTATCAAAGCTCATCAAGATGGACGATCTCGCATAGGTACATGGAAAAGGCACCAGACGAGAATCCCAGAGAATTTAATTTTCAAAAATTGGTGGAGGCAGTTTTTATCATTCGCCAAATTAAAATGGCCGTCAAATTAAACCAATTTACAGTAATCCTAAAATGCAACCCTCTGGTGTGGTCTGAAATGGAGAAACTACTGATGTATTTACCCAGGTATATTGCATTACATTAAATAAGTATATTGCATCGTAACACTAAGATTTAGAGCTCGAGTTTCAAAGAACACATTCTCAGGTTTTCTATATTGGTATAAACATAACAAAGGTGTTAATTCAAAAAACTATATATTTATAAGCATATATCAACAAATTACAGTAACATAGTATGTATACAATTGAGTGGTTCATTTGTTAAAATAGTAAAAGGAATATCTTATGGTAATTAATATCTTCATATGGTTTTCATATACATGAACTTAATAGGAATAGCAATTGTTCATATTTGCTGTTTTATAATTTGACCTCAGTCTACAGCATATGAATACAATGATCGGAAACTGAACCAGTGCAAGATACGTATCTACATGATTATTGGAGCATCTACATGATTATTTGAGTTCCTACAAGAACGTTATTACTAGATCACCAAAACAACACACATTCTAAGTACCTCTTCATAGGCCATGGCACACAAGTACATGCAATATACACTAAGTGAACACCATATATCACATACTGCACAAAGCATTTTCATTATGCATAAGGCTCAAAGTGGCACGATCTGCATTTTTAGCTATTTTGAGCAGAAATGGAAACCCCATTTTAGAATTCCTACATTCAACAACTAAAGATGACAAATGTGGCTCTTGAGTATCAATTTTATCTCAAAAACTATAACTTTGAAATTCCAAAATGCTTTTTGGGAGCTGATTTTATATTAAGAGATGTCAAATGTACAGACAGTGCCTCTTAATGCCCTCATCACATTTACGATTCATCGGGCGGACCTGGCTGATTGAGTTGAATTGTATTCAGTTTTGAACACAACATTCAATCAGCTGGGCACCAGCCGATGAATCGGAGCAAACGTGACTCAGGCAATCATAGAGTAATACTCACTAAGTGAGAATTCATTTGTGTATTTTACTATTTTCCGACTGAAGTGTTGTATCCAACACAGTTTGTATAATTCTTACTACATGTATATGATTAGGGTGGGTCAAAGATGGAATTTTCTAAATGCTACTGTTTTTATCCCACCATTTACTCAAAATGGCCTCCTGTAAACAATTTTACATTTGTAGATGCAACTTAAATACAGTTCGACAGATCCATTTTATTTCTCTTTATCCACTTGTTGTGTTTACTAATTCACATCAAATAGACGGGTAGGAAGGAGGGGTTCCCATGCACCCGAAAGATGTATTTTTTTAATGTACATTTTTGTAATCCTAAAGGTCCATACTAAAGATTTTTGCATGTTCCCAGAATGAAATATTGTCCCATGGTATCTATTGGTGGCCATCTTGTCGGCCATCTTGGATTTTTGAAAGCGTTGGTGTTAATTATCTTAAAGTATAATAACTTCCAGAGTTTTGCGATTTGAAAGCTGTAAGTGGTACCAAAATGAAGCTATTATAGTATCCTATATTATCAGATGCAATAATTATGCAAATTGTCTCATTTGCATAAAATGTGACATCATCAATCATAATTCTTGCCTCTTTACAACGGTATCGCATTATACCTTTCTGTCTGAGTGATCAGTCTTAGTCATTCATTCACATAAATGAATTTAAATATATAGTTACATTAATTTTGAACATATTTGTAAAAAACAATTCGAGACTTTTGGAAAAACATTGTCAGACACATGATAATGTTACTGAAAAGAGGCGTGGCACTTCTTGTGAAAGAATTGATTGTAATTATCTTAAAGTATAATAACTTCCACAGTTTTGAGAGTTGAAAGCTGTAAGTGGTACCAAAATGAAGCTATTATAGTATCCCATATTATAAGATGTAATAATTATGCAAATAGTCTCATTTGCATAAAATGTGACATCATTAATCATATTTTTTGCCTCTTTACAACGGTATCGCACAATACCTTGCTGCCTGAGTGACCAGTCTTAGTCATCCATGAACATAAATGAATTTGAATATATAGGTACATTAATTTTGAACATATTTGCAATTGAAAGTTTTGGAAAAACATTGTCAGACACTAAGTTATAACACTTCACATGATTATGTTATTGAAAAGGGGCGTGGCACTTCTTGAGAAAGAGTTGATGTTAATCATTTCAAAGTACAATAACTTCCACAGTTTTGATAATTGAAAGCTGTAAGTGGAACAAAAATGGAGCTATTATAATATACTTATAAAAATGCAAAATTATTTTTGGCATTTTTCAATGGTAACGACCAATATCTCTCCCTCTGGGTAACAGTCTTGGTTATTCATGAGCATTTATGATTTTGAATATATAGGTACATTAATTTTGAACATATTTGCAATTGCAATTTTGGAAAAACTTTGTAAGAAATTAAGTGTTGACACTTCACATGATTATGTAACTGAAAGGGGGGGGGGCATTTTTGTTCAAAATGTTAACTTCTAAACACTAATATCAAATTCAAGGGCTGAAGCTCCTCTAGCAGAGTCATGTAGATAGAGCCCAATGTTGCCCATTGGTGAAATGTTGGCCAAATTTTGCATCTTGTATGCACTGCTTACAAGTACATGAAGTGTTCATTATGATAGTGTAATTCCAATATGACAGCACAATACAAGTCAGGCTATTTTATTGTCACATATGCAAAAGTCGATCTAATGAGACATGTTAAAAGTGATAGTGGTTAATAATGCCCAGATCAAATTAACACAAGATAGATATTGAAGGTAGGCCTAGATCAAAGTATGGGCATCCTTAGCCTCAATCATGACGCCATCTGTATTGTCCATTAGTGGGAGCTGTAACCTTTCTTGCCCCAAAGTCTGAGGTTTGATGGAGTTGAGACCAGGCCAGGGAAAGCTCTTAATAGGAAATTGAGCCTCCCTTGGTCCATGGACCAAAGGTCATTCCATTTCAAGAAGTGCTGAAGTGAGGGTTCCCAGGTAATGTCAGGTAATGTAATGTCAGGTAATTCCCAGGTAATGTAAATCTGGAAAGGCCACTGAAATTGGGGAGTAATGTCATTACACCCCTATATATGACTTGAGTCAATGGCTCTAAGCCACTTGTCCAGGTCCCTTGACACTTCAGCTGTTTTGTTCAAATCACACATAGTTCTTCTCTAGACATTTGTTTCTTTATCTTGCCCTGTCGGTATTTGCTTGCCATTTATTTTGAACTGCATTGGAGAAAGCTTGCCATCAACCAAAACCATGCTTCTTGACCTGGTTGGTTTTTAACTTCATGCAAGTCCAATTTGCCATTCTTTCCATACCTAATAGAACCCATCTTGTACCCACTACTGCACTGGTCATAACTGTGATGTCATCCATGAAAGCTCTGTATGGTAAGTGTTTTGCACCTTCATTTGCTTTTGAAACCTTACACTGCATCATCCCTGCCTTGAGCAGTAAGTTCATTGATGTTACGAAGAGAACTACTGATACAGTGCAGTCTGCCACTATGCCTTTCTCTGAACTCTGCTAATTAGTGGTATTATTGCCAAATGTATTGTGCAACTTCAAGGAGTTTGTGTGTCCCATTGTC